TTTTTAAATTGTTAGGGTTTTCCAATCAGCCTTCACAACCAGAGCTTAACAGAAGTGATACTAGCATAATGCCAAAGTGGCAGGTGATGTTTGGGACAAGTTTAAGGAAATACTGACATTCATCTTGATTTCTTAAACTTTTAATAAAACTTAATTTATATATTTACTTTGTAAATCTGTGATGGTTGACTTTCAAGGATTTTGGAAATATTGACGGTTATTATTACTGTTTTACAGTGATTTCTAATGAGTTGTATTAAATAGCTTTTTTTTTCTTTTTCTTTTTTTTCCTCTTAGGTCACAGGGATTATGGACCCAGACCAGATGCTGGTAAGATTTATGGTTTGTTTGTAAACTTTCTCAAAGTTTGTAACTTTGCCATTAAGAGAATGTTAGTTTTCCACTTTTTTCAGGGGAAAAAAATGTGTGTTTGGAGGAGTTAGTTCAGGAAGAAGATTTAATTTGATAGTGCTGTCAGAGCTGAGGAGCTTTACTTCTAAAGACATCCAAGAAAGGAAAGTTAATGGAAAGTTTGCTGGGCAAAATTGTTATATTTGCATTTTCCCATGCTCTGCATTATCTTTTGTGAAGAAATATTTGATTTTTTTTTTTACTCCTAATTAGCATTATTTAATCACTGCAAATCAGTTTTGAAAGAATTTGTATTACTGGGAAATTAGGAGTAGAAAAGCTTTAAGAAAATACTACATTGCATTGGTAGTCTCCATAGTGGGCCTAAGGAACCTGGATTCATAGATTAGAGAATTGTCTTACTCTAGGCAGCAGTCACTAATTTCATGTGGCTTTTGAAATTCAAGGCTACATGGAGCCTTTTGAAAGTTACGATTTAGAGATTAATATATATTGAATTCAGAACTTTTGTTTTTATTAAGATGCCAAAATATTCTATATGGAAGGCAGTTTCTGAATTATCCCTTCATGGACTGAATTTTTTACATCTTTCTTACTTTGTTGTACTAATCCAAAAGTGTGCATGTAAGGTAAGGTGAGTGTCGAGGTGCCTCCACCCTGCGGTATATACGGTGCTGTTGTAGTGACCTGGGAACCACCAGTTCTGCTTGGCTTGCTTGGAAGTCCAGTGTCAGATTGGGGGACTTGTCTATTAAAGAGACTTAAAAGTATTGGTTACCCATAAAGAATTAAAGCTCTCCAAAGAAGGGAGTGCTAATTTATAATTTTTCTTCCTCTCTCCAGGAGTTTGAGTTCTGTATCTGAATCTAAAGAGTGAGATTTGTAAGATCCCTTAATGGGTCTTGTGTATTTTACAATGTGGACTTGATCCACTTTATCTTAAATTTAGTTGTAAGAATTGACCAAATAACTATTATTGTCACCACTTTGCATGTTCACATAAAAGATTTTTCTTATATTGGTCCTATTTTTTGAAGGGGGGGGGTCATAGAAACAGTTGAATGTTGGACAACAAATTACTGTTCTTGATTATTAAGCAGAATGTAGTAAAATCAAGGAATATGTAAAATTAACCATAATTTTTTTTCCCTTAGATTCAGAATCTGATAATTCAGATAACAACACAATCTTTGTGCAAGGACTTGGGGAGGGTGTGTCTACAGATCAAGTGGGGGAGTTCTTTAAACAGATAGGAATTATCAAGGTGAGTGAAAAGCATGGCTTATGTAAAAAATATCATAATCACTTATATATTCTGGTTAAGATACATAGATTACATAATCCTCTATTCTAGTAAGGCTTCTCTCTGAAAATTCACTGATGCGCATTCTGACCCTTGGCTGTAGGCATTTGCTAAATACATGATGATTTTATTCCTTGGTTGTGTTTACCTTCCCACAGCCTTTTACAGCTTTAGCTTTCCATAGGGCTCTAAAAGTAGTCTCTGACTAGCTCCTAGAGTTGTGAGACCAAATGAGATTGTGAGAACATTTTATAGATTCTGAAATGCAAATATAGGCAAACTCAAGTTGTTACTAACAACTTTTTGTTTTGATATTCCATGTTTGTGATACACACTAGCCCAATTTATGATGCTTTATTTTATAACTTTATGGTTTACTTAAGTGTCTTATGCACTGTTTCATGCAAATATTGGGTTAACCGAAAAGTTCGTTCAGTTTTTTCTGTACAGTGGCTCTAGTAGTGCTCAGTTGTCTTTAGCTTCATTCAGAACAATTTTGTTAGATTGTTATCGTGACAACTGTCAGTGTGCATTAAAAAAATTTAATCAAAATAGATACATTTTTGTGTAGCCATTTTAATATTGAAGGTGGAAGAAAATAAGCAACATTTTAGGTATATTATGCTTTATTATTTTAAGAAAGGTAAAAGTGCAACTGAAACACAAGAAAGATTTCTGCAGTGTATGGAGAAGGTGCTGTGACTGAAAGTGTCAAAAGTGGTTTGCAAAGTTTCTTGATACTGTTGACATTTTGGCCAAATAATTCTTTGCTGTGGGGCTGTCTTGTGCATTGGAATATGTTCAGCAGCACCCCTGGCCTCCACCCACTAGAAGCCAATAGCAGGAGATAGCTGACATACTCAAAATACCCAAATGAGTAAAGTCATTAGTGAAAGTGAAAAATGGGTCTTTTGCTTCCTCACTGCAGCTTGAGATTTTAGGCTCTCCTTGGATCTGTGAGAAGGGAAGGACCATTTCCCCAGGAAAACATGCATACACTTCAGTTTTTGCTTGGAAGTCTAGGGTGTTCATAGACTATACTCAGGGACCTACGCATCTTATGTGAGAAAGTCCTGCGTTGTCAGGATTGGTTACCCAGGCCCTGACCTTGCTCACCTGGTTCCATGTCCTGTGGAAGACCAAAGCTTTTTCCTTTCAAGCTATAGTAGAATGTAAGCCCCTGTGCCATCTTTAACTCAGGGAATTACCCACCCTTTATTTCTGCTGGGCTTTAGGATAGAATTTTCTGGTTTTCCCGATGATAGTCCTCTGCTTAAAAACCCAAATCCTGGCTGGAGTTGGAGGTGGAAGAAGGTATAGAAAGGTGTAATGGGAAAACACACACACGCACGCACGGAAAGTTTTGGGGGGATAAAAGAAAAATGTGTGTATTATTTTATGGAAAAAACTGAACGGACTTTTTGGCCAACCCAGTATTTTTCATCTCTTCAACTAGAAGGTATCATTTAGAGCAGTGTTAGTAGATTGTAGCATGTGCCTGAAATCAGTTGACAGCTATTTTGTTTTTGGTGTCTCTAGAATTACTCATTTTTTCATGTTCTTCTTGGGAAGTTAAAATTTCTTAAGGAATTAGACATGAAATATGTAAAAAATTCATAGTTCTGATTAAGTAAAAATTCTCCTTTGTCTTCCATTCCCATCCTAGCCAAATCTAATGTGTAACCTTAGGGGTCGTCTATTGATTTGCTTAGTGAACATTCTTCCTGGCCTATTTTGTTTTATAAGGTATATATTTACATAAAGCATTATTTATATTTTTTGTGGATTTAAAGAAATTATACATAGATAAAACAGTATATACTATGTATCACACTTAGTTCAGTTTTCACATAATGTTATCTTAGAGTGTTTTCCTTTTTAAACTACAGATAATTTCATTTTAATAAAAGGTGCATAGCATTTTGTGGTATGGATGTGTGAATTCTTTTAAAATAATAAATTACACGGTTCTTGATCACTTTTTCTTAAAATGCTAACATCAGCTTATTTGTTCCTCAGACAAACAAGAAGACGGGAAAACCCATGATAAATCTGTACACAGACAAGGACACAGGGAAGCCAAAAGGAGAAGCAACAGTGTCATTTGATGACCCTCCTTCAGCTAAGGCAGCCATTGACTGGTTTGATGGTATATTTCATTCATGTAACTTCAGCATGCTTTTGGATAAATGTTTTCGTCTTGAAGTCAGAATATATTCTGGTAGACAGTGGTTATTTTCATGTTTACTTTTAATAGTGAATTTTATTAAATGTACAGGCCAGAGTTTTTACATACCTTTAGAAATGAGATGAGCTCTCTTGTTTTTGTGTAGAATATTTCCTTATATCATGACTTATGCTTGAGGTCACCCTGATACAGATGTAGAGGGTTGGCTTGGCTGACCCTGTATTCTTTTAAAATTTAGATTAATTTTTTTCCAAATACACAGTTAATACATAGAAAAAATAGTAAGATTTTTTTTCCCCCTGAAAATGAGAAAGTATGGGAAAATAGAAGGAGTTAAAGCAACCATAGTCCCTCTATTCAGAGATAACCACTGATAATATTTTTTACTAACTTTCCTTCCAGTTTTTAAAACTATTTTAAAAATAGTTTATCATTACATTCCAAATGTAGTTTCGTCTCATGTTCTTTTGAGGGGGTAAAATTTTTTTTATTGGAAAACAAATAATATAACTTGAAATGGATTTGAGACAAATTGTGCTATAAGCAGATTTTTCTTTAAGTGGCTAAGCAAGTTTAAAAAGCTAGTAACAATAAAAGAAAATGTCTCTGGTACAGGACCAGCAGTACAAAAAATTAGTGTGCGAGTACCTGGATAATATGCCCGTTTTGCAATAGTACAGCTTTTAAGCACATACTATTGACTGTCCATAGTTGACAGAGTCACAATTCCACACTTCAGCAACAATATGCTGACAGTCCTAAAGATTACTATTTTTTAAAAGGCATAGCCCAGATGTTCCCTCATTTGACCAACTCCATCTAAGTTTAGATAAGCAGAAGGGTTTAGATATATCCAGAGTAAGCCACGTACAACGTTTTACTTGATCGGCTTTCTAAAATAAGGTTTCAGGACAATGACAGTGAGATTAAGGGAAGAAGACATGTAGGAATGACGTCCTAATTACTGTACATACATATTTTTGACAGTAGGGGAAACCTTTTACAGATAAGTTACAAACAAAAGGTAAATAAACAATTGTACAGGAAATTGAACAAATTCTGTACAGTGTTTTTACTTTGCCGTCCTCATTTGTACAAACTATTTGTAGTTTACTTGACCATCACCATCAGTATCTCTCACCCCATCATTTCATCAACTTCTTCATCTGTTAACTTCTGTCCAAGGTTTGTCATCACATGGTGAAGCTGTGCTGCTGCACTAACATAGCCATTGCCATCCTCATCAAACACACGGAAAGCTTCTCTTAATTTCTTCACTGTGTCCTTCCTTTTTCTTGCCATCATTGTCAGGAATTTCAGGAAGTCAGTTGTGCCATTACCATCAGCATCCACTCTATTAATCATGTTCTGTAACTCTGCTTCTGTGGGATTCTGCCCAAGAGGCCTCAGTGCAGTTCCCAGTTCCTTTAGTGTTACAGCTCCATCCCCATCCTTACCAAATAGTGAAAAAGCTTTGAATTCTGCAATCTGCTCTTCAGTCAGGTGGTCAGCCATGCTGTAGGCGCTGCCAGTCTCCAAGGTGTGACCATATAACCACTTCACTTGGACTTCATGTTCTCTTCACTTAACATTTTAAGAGTCATTTCCCCGTGTTATAAATTCACCTGTCTTTTTCAAAATATAATTTCATTTTTTTTAACTTATTCCGAGATGAGATTGTGATACTGTATGAGTCCTTACCTCCATGTTCTTTACTTTTTGTGCTAATCCGTCAAGCCCCATCGCCTTGCTCTTGAAGGCTAGGTCCAGTCTTCTTGACTTCTGCTTTTTTAATAGTTTCTCTGAATCCTAAAGCAATTTCTTTTGCTCATTATATGTTTTAAAAATTATTGTGCCATTTGCCCACAGGGCCTGTGAACCTCTTACACTTAACTCCATAGTTCATCTTTTACCAGGTCTTTTTACAGCTTTTAAAATACTGGTCCATGAGTTGCTTCCTATGTCAAAGTGCACGTCATACCATCTGACATTGTGGAAAGTTGTAGGCCACAGTGATGAGGGCTTTGTCCTAGGAGCCAAGGCTCTTGGATCTATAAGGATTTTCTGAATCCTTGGGCACCTTTTCCTTATATGTCAGTTGTCTTATTTAATATAAAATAAAAAGATTAATTTCTGTCTCTAAAGCCCTAGGGCAGCAGACTATGTGTACATGTACCTCAGTAATCACATATACCCGCACTAGTTTTAAATAAGACAGTACTTGAATATGGTAAAAAAATTCCAAACAGGACCAAGAGGATAGTAAAAAATCAGTTTCCTTTCCACCTCTGACCCTGCCCACTGTCAGTGGTCTCGTTTCCCCTATTGAGAGTTCAGTAGTGTGTATACAAGCAGATGTGTGCATATAGGTACATGCGCACACTCACGCATGCGCACACACATTCCCTTTAAGAAACTGAAATGGTAGCAAACTGTAAACACTGTTCATGTAAAAATATTAGATGTGGGGTTTTTTTTCTTAGTAATAAATGACTGTATCCCAGTTACAGATCTGCTCTGTTCAGTAGATTATGTCACGTTTTAATTCTGTTACCTTGACTCTGGGAACACTAGTGTGTTTGAATTTCTGTGAGGACATGTCAGTTATTCCTCTGAAATTAAAAATATTCAAGACAGTTTAACCTTTTTCTTCAGAAGTGCAGACGTGGAGTAGCATTTCTTTCCCTCCCTCCTTCCTCCCCTTCCTTCCTTCCTTCCTTTTTTGTGTTTTTTAATTCTCACCTGAGGACATGCTCATTGATTTTAGAGAGAGAGGAAGGGAGGGGGAGAGAGAGGGAGAGAAACACCCATGTGAGAAGCATTGACCAGTTGCCTCTTACATCCTCCGTGACCTGGAATCAAACCTGCAACCCAGGCATGTTCCCTGACCAGGAATCATACCCGTGACCTTTCGGTTTATAGGATGATGCTCCAGCCAGCCAGGGCTGATGTAGCTTTTCTCCAAAATCATTTTCTTTTTTTTCTTAGGGAAAGAATTTCATGGCAACATCATTAAGGTGTCCTTTGCCACCAGAAGACCTGAATTTATGAGAGGAGGTGGAAGTGGAGGTGGGCGACGAGGTAAGATGCTTGTTGCCTACTGGCCTGGATATTGTATAAAGAGTTTGAATTTGAGTCTGTCATATGTCCCTGTTGTGTGAAGTTGATGCTACCTCTTGTGTGAAGTTGATGCTACCTCTTTCTCTCTTGTTTTTCCTTCTATGTTAAGGTGAGATGACATAGGAGATTAGGTAGATAAGGTGTCATAGTACCTAATAGAGTAGTGGGAGAAGTTTCTAAAAATCCCCTTGGAAAGCTGTATAGCGGATTGTTATTCACTTGGAAATCAGGAGGCAATCATTATGATACCTAATTGAGTGCTTAATCTGGCTAGTTTGTAAGTTCCCTGATACAGTTGCTGCTAGGTTGTTCATTCTGTTGGGTCTGATTCCTTAAATTTGGAGTTTGTTGTCTCACTTAACCTTTATTACTGAGATTCTCAAACTAACGAGAGTATTATAGAAAAGTTTTTAAGTGCATTATTGGCACTGTAAAGTGTGTCTGGGGTCATTCCCACATTTCCTGCATATACTGTGTAAAGCTTCAAATCAAAGAATCACAGAGGCCTACCATAGCCCTACCATTTATTTGGAGGGCGGGGGGCGGTGTTGTCTAGGTCCTGGTAGACACATGCTCTTAGTTCTTTCATCTGGTACCTTTTCTCTGCTTTGTTGATGTCTGCTGCTGATTTTTGTCCCTTCCCTCCCTACATCCCCCAGGCCGCGGAGGATATAGAGGCCGTGGCGGCTTTCAGGGGAGAGGTGGAGACCCCAAGAGTGGGGACTGGGTTTGCCCTAATCCGTAAGTAATCCATTTACTGTGGTGAGAGTAGAATTTAGGATTGAGGTTGGAAGGTGCAAGACGGGGTCTGAATCCATTGGAAGCTTTTGAGGAGCATTTTTACTTTCCTTTTTTCTCAGGTCATGTGGAAATATGAACTTTGCTCGAAGGAATTCTTGTAATCAGTGCAATGAGCCCAGACCAGAGGACTCTCGTCCCTCAGGAGGAGGTAGGCTACCTTTTTGGGTCAGTCTTTTAATAACATCTACATGATATTTATCTTCTGACTAGTATTACAGAAACTTTATTGTTATTTTGCTGACCTCATTGGTTTGCATTTCTACCTTGCAGATTTCAGGGGAAGAGGCTATGGTGGAGAGAGGGGCTATAGAGGTCGTGGGGGCAGAGGTGGAGACCGAGGTGGCTACGGAGGAGACAGAAGTGGGGGTGGCTATGGTGGAGACAGAAGTGGGGGTGGTGGCTACGGAGGAGACAGAAGTGGAGGTGGCTACGGCGGAGACAGAAGTGGGGGTGGCTATGGTGGGGACAGAGGAGGTGGCTATGGAGGCGACCGAGGAGGTGGCTATGGAGGCGACCGAGGAGGTGGCTATGGAGGCGACCGAGGAGGCTATGGAGGGGACCGAGGAGGCTATGGAGGCGACCGAGGAGGCTATGGTGGGGACCGAGGCGGCTATGGAGGCGACCGAGGAGGCTATGGTGGGGACCGAGGCGGCTATGGAGGCGACCGAGGCGGCTATGGAGGCGACCGAGGCGGCTATGGAGGTGACCGAGGAGGCTACGGTGGGGACCGAGGAGGCTATGGTGGAGATCGAAGTGGAGGGGGCTACGGAGGAGACCGTGGTGGCGGCGGCGGCGGCTATGGTGGAGACCGAAGTGGAGGCTACGGAGGAGACAGGAGTGGTGGCAGCTATGGAGGAGACCGAGGTGGCTATGGAGGCAAAATGGGAGGAAGGTGAGTATTTGAATATACCTTTTACCTCACTGCTCCTAGATTTTAAGGACTGAGTCCTTTTTGTCATATTTCCTTATTGTCCAGTGTTTTTGGAAGTTGAATTTTCTATTGGCAGTTCTGTCGATTAGGGTAGAGAAGATCTATTTAGTTGCCTGCTTAGTAGTTTCTAAAAATTATTGTTTTGAAAATTGTTACTCATAAATCTTTTTTTTTTTTTTTTAAGAACTTATTTATTTATAGAGAGAGAGAGGGAGAGAAACATCAATATGTGATTGCCTCTCGCACGCCCCCTACTGGAGACCTGGCCTGCAACCCAGGCATGTGTCCTGACTGGGAATTGAACTGGCAACCCTTTGGTTCGCAGGCCAGCACTCAACCCACTGAGCCACACCAGTCAGGGCTTACTCATAAATCTTTATATGAGTGTGGGTGTTATTCATTCTCATAGCTAAAGATAATTGAGATTGAGAGGTAATTTGAAACTGTGTAAATTGGGGATTTTAATCTTAAGTGGTGGGATAGAACACACCTCTCATAGTGGTGTGCTCTTTCAGATCACACGTGCTGTGCACCCTGCAGTTGCTTTTCTGGTGATTCTGGTAACACTTTTTCCAGATGAAACTCACTGATGGTGCTAATGGGAGTGTGTTGTGCAGCACACGTGAATGGTGTAGAGGCAGAAAAAAATTGAATAACCAGTGATATAAAGAAATTTCAGTTATGACACTAACCATTTGTATTCCAGAGGTAGTATGGGATAGTGAGAATTAATATAGCATGCCATTACAAACATGGAGTTTGGAGACAAACTGGGTTCAAATCTTGGCTCCACAACTTACTAGCTATGTGACCTTAGACAAGTCACTTAACCCTTTGGAGCATTAGTACTGTCGTGTACAATGGGGCTAATAATATCTCCTTCATGGAGTTGTATTAGATTATGTTATAAAAGTAACCGACCCATAGTAAGTATTGCGTAATTGTTAGCTATTAATAATTATCATCATCTATTCAATACTTCTTAGCATATGGCAGATCCTGTGGAGGTGTCTGTTTATACAGGGTGGGGCAAAAGTAGGTTTACGGTTGTGAGTATGTGAAACCCAGGAGTTTATTTATTGTACTGTTGTACTATTTTCCATAACAATTGTAAATCTGCTTTTGCCCCACCCTGTATCTTGGTTCTCGTCCTTCTGTCAACCTCATAAAGTAGGTGTACTTCCTGTTTTACAGAGTTAGGAACATGGAGTAACTATTGCAGGGTCACATGGTAGGTGGTAGATCCAGAATTCTTACATGAAAGTGTGTGTTTGCTTATTCCACCATGCCACTGGTCTGTTTAGAGTACTGGAATTGGTGTAGTCTCTGACCTCCTGAAAAACCACAGTGGTGTGGAGTCCTTATTCTAGGAGGGAAATTTTAAGGGAGTTGGTAATGGTAAAACTGCTTTTAGGAACTTCATGGGTCTTAAAGCTGATACAACATGTCTTATGCACATTGTAGGAGTAGAGAAATAAATCAGGCGTGGTGCCGTCCTTGCAGAAATTTTCAAAGTGATACCAGTCACCAGCACCCTGAAGTGTTTGATGCTCCCCTTTGGTAGAAAATTAAAATTTAGTCTGGCTCTTTATTTTTCATTCCTAGAAACGACTACAGAAATGATCAACGCAACCGACCATACTGATGACTGTTTTGAATGTTCCT